GCTAACATTGGCGAAAATGAGTTTACCAACAGGTTTCACAGTACATGGTGTACTCAGGTATAAAAAAATTTTTTTTTTAATATCTATATATTTGTATTTAATTGTTATTAAGTGTATTTAAGGGCTGTGATAGATATTACATAATATCTTGGGGGTGGGAGTAAGCCAAAGTCTTATGTTACATATATATAATATATATATTTATATATATAATATAATATTAGCAAAAATAAATATAATACAGATCTGTAAAGATCTGTAATCTTAGCAAATTTTATGATATCTTATGGTCCAGTAATTAAAACTCGATGATTTTGGTACCATTCGATTCGTCTCAATGAGATGGATCGAATAGTATCAAAATCATCGAGTTTTGACTACTGAATCATAAGATAATTGTATTTAAATAATATTTATAAATATCTAAATAACTTGTCAACCAGTGGTCTAAATTTAACAATTTTGGTACCATTCGATTCCTCTCAATGTGACGATTCGAATGGTACCAAAATCATTAAAATTAAATTACTGGTTCGCGAGATATTCACAAAAAACGTTTTGTAGTACAGTTCTTTTACAGAACTAAATTTTTTTGTAAATATATAAAACTGTGCCGCAAAACGTTTTTTGTGAATATCTCGCGAACCAGTAATTTAATTTTAACACTTTTGGTACCATTTGAATTGTCTCATCAAGAGAAATCGAATGGTACCAAAATTGTTAAATTTGGACTGCTGGTTGACAAATTATTTAGATATTTATAAAAATTATTTAAATTAATTATTTCATGATCCAGTAGTTAAAACTTGATAATTTTGGTACCATTCGATCCGTCTTATTGATACGGATCGAATAGTACCAAAATTATCAAGTTTCAATTACTGAATCACGAGATATCATAAAATTTGCTAAGGTTATATATTTTTACAGATCTGCATTATATTTATTTTGTCGACCAATCAGAGTCATCATCTTACATGGGGGAGGGGAATACCCTTATAGTAAATAGATATTATGTAATATCTGTCATAGTCCTAACTATTTACTAATCATTTTTTTTTTATATTTGTATTTGACCTTTACTAATTGATTTATTTATTTGGATATATTTAACTGATACAAACCATTTCAACTATCTTTAATATTACTAGTTGTTACAAAAAATGAAGAACTACTATAGATCAGCGTCACAGAATGTCCGTAGTTCGATTTGAAAAGTGTTCGGTCGTGAAAAGCTACCCTACTTGAAGAGTAGTCTGTCCCAGCTGATATCATAAAGTGGAAGAAAAGCCCACAAGTCAATTAATACTATCAGGCTCTTTTTAAACAAAATAATAAAGGAGTTCTTTAGATTTCTCTTATTGCAAAATCTGTATTTAGCATGGCCACTATATCCATTTTGACAAACCACCATTGTGCTTTTACACTTGCAATATGTAATATTATATTGAACTTCCGGTCCCTAAATATTGTATGCATTAAGAAACGCGTGAAGCATCGCATAGAGCAATATTTGATAAGTATTTGTAATATTTTGTTTATAATCGTTTGGAACTTTATTTTTGATCTCTAATATTGTCGTTTATAATTAATATTTATTGTATTTTATTAGAATGATTTTGATGATTGTAGTCCTCAATATGATTCTGCAGAATCAATTATAAATTATAAACTTTTGGCACAACTACATGATGATGACTATTTGAGAGAAGTTTTGTCTGAACTTGGGCTTTCATCCCAAAATAGTTCAGCGATGCTGTCACAGAAGGAAAATGATAACTTATTTGAAGTTAATAAATAGTGGTGTTAAAAGTTTTTTTTTTTTAGTGGTGTTTTTTTTTTT